CCCCAAAACCCCAAAACCCCAAAACCCCAAAACCCCTAGCTTTTCTCGGCTGGTTGAAATGGAATTATGAATTTTTGACCATCTCCATTCCAGATCAGCTAAGAAATTCATGATTCTCCATTCCTGACCATGTTCCGATACTTTGATGCAGAGGCTCACAGGGAGGCAGAGCAAGCACAATGCACAGGAAGACAGAGCACAGGGCGAGCGGCCAGAGAACCCACTTCGTAAATTAGACGCCTCCGGCTGATTCGCAATGCGAGTTTTGAGTCTGCAGGTGCCTTTGCTTCAGAAACAGCCGAGTAAGCCAGGCAGTTTAGACTTTGCTTCAGCAGAACCAGCTTGGAAGCTGTGGGTTTGGAGAACAAGTATAGGCATCATGAGAAGAGGAGAGGCCCTAAGTCAGGCTAGCTTAACTCTGAAAGGATTACTAAGTTTTTATTATTCAAATCAGACAGGTTACTTAAACTATAGCACATTGTGACCTAACAGAGCGAAGAGTAGCCAATAGATGACTAAGGAAGTTTAATTGCAAATAAATTAGATAAGATTATATTAGTCCTAGAGGGTCCTACCTCTCAGTGAATGAGTTCATCAAATATATGATGATAGTTAGCCTGAAAATTGGTTGAAGGGGTTAAGTGCATATCATTCCTTCTCCTGCTTGCTGCTCTTCCAGAATCTTGAGTTGGCCAAGAAAGCCGATATTAGGGTCTATCTCTGGTCTCTTGCTTCTGATCGTTTCCAAAGCTTCATCAAAACTATAGAAAACATCAGTTCGAGCTCTTGAAAATAATAGGAAATAAATTTTATTAATGTCAAAATCTCCAAAATAAGTTAGACTTCTTTAATCCTGTAAAACCGCACAGGTATGGCGACGTTTCAACAAGTTGGTGCATTCTTAACTCCTTCTTGGCATAATAGTAGGGAGATAAAGCGGTTACTCCGTTAACAGCCTGACAACAGAAGTTCTGAGTGTTAAATTAGCAGCATATACGCAACCTATTTGCCTTTTTAAACGAGAGCCTGAAATATGTCTAAAATTTCTTGGTGAGGGATGACTCAAATTCAAGCTAAATTAGTTGTAAGCTAAGTTAAACCACGAGAATTCAACCTAAATCTTGCTGTTAGTGCTAGTGAGAGACCCTCAAAGAGCTCCTTATGAGATTTATTTATGAAAATTTGTTCCTAAAATTTCTCAGAATCCTTTTCCCCAAAAGGTGGTTTACACTGAAAAATTGCCTCATTAGCTAAGATTCCATTAGGAAATAACTCTTGGAGATAGATACATGATGAGAGGGAGGCCACACCTCTTTGCTCATGTCTCTTGGGAAGAAGACAAGAGTTTCACCTAGATGTATGAGGAACATGATGACTTAGTTCTATCTTCATTATTTTATCCATTATTAGTCAACAGGAGTGCCTCTATCATTAAGCTAAGAGAGTTATTTCCAATGAAAACATGCAGGAGATAGTCTCTTGACCTCCCCTGATAGTATTAAGCATTATCACTAAAATTGTAGGTTTACTAATAAGCGAGTATATTAATTTCTCAGAAAAGTTGAAAGTTGACAAGTTGATCCCTGGCCTTAGCCTAATGCAAGCTTGTCAAAGCAGAAGCATCCTTCAGCCTTGTAATTACAATAGCTAATGCTTAAGTAGCTTTTAAAATCTAAATATGAGTATTAAGGATTCTCTCAAAGTTATCTAAACTCTTGCTCAGTTAATTTCTGAATATCCAATTTAAGATTATTTCAAATTTGGGCTAATAAGAATCTTTCTGAAAACACCTATCTTCAGCTATTTCGTATTTGTCTTGAGAGCTGCAGTCAAGAGAGTCATTATAGAGGGCCTAAGCTTTAGTTCCATAATTAGTAGACGCCCAGAACGTTAAAAACTGTAGTAAGGTATTTCATGGTAAGATGAACATTTTCAGCAATAACAGCAAATGTAAAAGAGGCTAAAAATCTGGTTAAACCTACCTTTTGCCTGTTCAAATCAGGTATCCTGCTCAGACGCTTGCTGACCTTGAGATTCCTTTTGTTCAGAAAAATAAGAATTTAGGGGACTCAAATTTTTCTTTCTCAACCTCGATGAACTTGTACACCTTCTCAATGATCGAGAGCAGGTCGCTATCAGGAGTGTCTTTTAGACTAAGTTCGAGAGACTTGACTTGCCTTCCTTCCTCATTTTCTAAAAATAACACATAAATATCAAAATTTAAGGATTCTTAATAAACTGAAATTTTCGAATAAACATGTTAGTGAAAATCAGCTAAACTAAAGGAGGAAATGCTAAAATAGGCGAATCTGTTGGTACATTTTCTGTGATTATTAACGTAAGAAATCTAACAAGAAGAATTCATATTACCCCTTTGTCGATGAGCTATTATATATTACCGGGGTTCTAAAAGTCCCACATGTCTCCCTCTTGGCTAGGAATCATGAGTAGAGCTCAGTGCAGCTAGGTAGCAATATCCATGAGCTCTTAAGGTCCAGACATGAGTTATAGTGCTAAGTTTAATCTAACAAGGATCTGTAATATTGAGTTTCTGAAATACTTTTCTTCTACTTATATTCTAAAGAATACGAATTGAAGAGTTATAACTTGGCCTAAGTTCCTAATCTCACTCTGATGGGAGGAGAAATCTGTGTACCAGAGCTGGAATTAGACCTCTTCTGTAGTTTCCCAGGAGCCCTGCTTCTCTTAAACTATCACTTAATCGTCAATAATATAAATAAATGATGTAGAATAGCTGATGAGAAGAATACTATTAATAATTCTTCCTGTTTCACTAATTTTTCGAAGAAAATTTGTTCAAATTATTGAGACAGCATCAGGAATAATCGATTAAATTCTGATACCCATTCTGGGTATCACACCCTGGTGTGACTGAAATCTTCTGATACTCAGAAAATGAGTGATATTTTATAATTGGATAGCTCGTGACAAAGCACTCCTTCCTGAAATATAGCATGCCAGGATTTATCAAGGAGGTAATAAATAGAAAAGTTATTGGTGCAAACTGTAACTTCTAATTAACTTACCTTTCTCTTCGCCTGATAAACCCCATCCAGTGGATGCTGTCATATAACTTTTGTCAGAAGCTGCTCCTGAGCCCTTCAGCCCTGGTTCCTGCTTTTTGTGGGCTACCAAGTTGACGACATGGGTGATCCCGTGCTCTGCAAGGACCAGGGGGTTGCTGGCAGCCGCTAAGTTCGAGATATACATGTTTTCATTAATTTTAGTTATATCGAAATCGTCTCTATTGACCAGAATTTCATCGTTAAAGTAGATGGCACCTGGAGAGAAATCAAACTCTGCAGATTTGGTCTTCTCCTTTGCCGAGCTCACATCCAGCATGTGGCCATCTTCTAATTCGTGTTTATTAATGTGGTCTTCGCTGAACTCACTGTACTTCTCTGCTAGCCCAATGTTAAGCTTGAGTTTTGCTCTAATTTTGTTCTTCATTTTCCTTAATTATAATATTTACTATCTGAACTTGCATGGGGTTTTGGGGTTTTGGGGTTTTGGGGG